GACCAATTATATAATAGCCCTATATCACATGATAGGGGCATGCCTTTTGGTCAAAGGGCATGCCCTAGGCATGCCCCTGGGGGCATGCCCCATGGGGCATGCCTCTTAACCCCATGCCCCCAACCCTATAATCAACACACAATTACTATAGAACTACTAAAGAGACTAAATCTCTGCTTGTTAGGAGAAATAAATTCATGGCTGTATAGTTATGTACCTTAATTTCTTTTTCTTAAAACGCTCTTATTTTTTTTTGAAAATTCATTTAACAAATCTCGAAAATTCTCTGACGGTATGTCATTTAAATTTACGAGCTTTTTAATCCACTCGCTGGCATCTACATCATTTTTATAATTGAATTTTAAATCGTTGTTGAGTCGGTTTGATCCATTATTCTGAAGGATATTTGGTAACGCGATTTCAAAAAAGGGCCGAATTATGTCTATAGCACGAGATTTGGTCAAGTATTGCAAATGTGAAAGTCCAAATGGCACATTTTCATTACAATAATCACGATACAAAGAACGAATAGCTTTAAATGCACTATCTGTCATGTCCCCGGGAATATCTTGGCCAGGATTCTGTTGAAGATACAAATCTGCACAAATACGAGATTCAAGGATGTCATCAAAACATTTTCTGGTTATTTCTGTACATGGGTCAAATGCTTCAATAACCCATTTGTAAAATATAGGAGATAATGTAAGGAATCTATATTTAATTGGTTCTTCTAATCCATGGAGGCCAACTTTATGCATATCCAAAATTTTCATGATAACCTCCTCTTTATTGTTTTGATGGATTTTCGAATATAAAAAGTATAACACATCTTGTTTTTTCAAGTTTTTTTCTGGTTTGATGACATCTCCAAGACAATTACTAGCAATTGTTGCGCCGGATTCATTCCGTACATTTCCAAATGCTTCTATTAATGTATCGCCAATAATTTCAAGACGATTTTCAAAGATATGAAAGGCGTCGGACATTACAGGAACTGTCAACTTAAATCCAAGGTCCATAAGTTCTTTAAGCCTCGTAGTTTCCATAATGCATTAAAAGGCGTTGGATAAAATAGCGGGACATATTTGCACCTTGAGCTAACAAGCATTTTATTACATCAACAGTCACAAAAGATGGTCCTAATCTAACCATATGGAAAAGGGAGTGTGATAACCCATACTGTGTAATTATCCATGCTGCCCGTGTGCACGGATCCCTGAAAATAATGATTTAAAATACATGATTAAAACAAATTCTTGAGCCTTTTTTTTTCCTACTTAGACTAGAGGTGTGACCCAATCTAGCCGTTTTTTACTAATCATAATTTTTGATCTCTTATCCTAAAAGAGTTTGGACCACATCTTATTTTTTTGGGGGAGTAACACATTATTGCAAAAGTCATATTTTGATGCTTAAATACGGTCAACCATCTTTTTAAGTTGCAGTTCTTTTCTAACCCAAATATTATGGGTGTTATTTGGGCAAATAATTTGAAGATAGCTAATAGTTAATTTAGCCGAAGAATTTCAGTAACAAAAAAATTATGATTCGCATTTGGATAAATTATAAGCTCTTTTCAAATTATTTGTCCTTAAATACCGCCATGCGCGTTAATTCGGTAGAAGATTCAAAAATAAATCCCGTGTGGAACCGTGGCAAAATTCGTCGGAATATTTCGGGCTCCACAGCTGTATACAAATTATATTTTGTATCCTGCGCGGGTTCCAAAAATCCTATGCATCACGCACGGGGATCGCGCACGTGCCCATCACTAGCTATAGGTATAAAACAGTACAGAAACTATACGTCAAAGTAGTGATGGCACGCGCATGATGCGCGAGATGTTTTGGATCCACGTGATATACGAAGTATAATTTGTATGCAGCTATGAACCCCGGAATATTCCAACGACCTTTTGCATCTGTTCCGAATGTTTCGAAAAAAAGATAAATTTGAAATCCAATTCAGTCTTATCCTGTTTTATACCTATAACAGCTTCTTTCCGAACATTTTTTGAATAATGCCAACAAAAGATAAATAAAACCAAGTGAACTTTTTTATAGGGCGAATTTTGCATTTGTTTAATCAATTCGCCATTCTTATATATAGCAGGGATTTCTATCATGACAAATCAATGATATCTCACGATCTTGTGATCAGAATCGATTTTATCCTTCTCAATGAAAATTAACAGGGCATAGGATCGATTTTCCGTTCACGTGATTTCAAAATAATTGATCCATGTTAGGATTCAGATATATAATATAGCAAAATTTCGTGAGAAAATTTTTTTGCTAGGACGACGACAAAAGTGATTTACTAGTTTAAAGTTTGAGATAAACGCGATTTTTGCAAAGCGAATGTTTTTGTTTTGGATATTTTACACCTGATCTTGGTATGCCCTGGAGTAGTTTCTTCTTGATGAGAAATCGAACGTACAAGTTTCATCCGATTCTGGTTGTTAGCTCACGAGTAGGGATGTCAATGGTTACAAATCGATTACAACTGTTAGAAGCCATTTACTAGATTGAGCGCTGATTTTCTTTTCACAGGCTATTAATTAAACTTAGGTTGTTTATTGAAAGTAAGTAATAGAGTTTCTTAGAATCCAGAATATTATTATTAATTCGTGATCATGTGGGAACCAGTGAAAAACATAGTAAATCGTGGATGTATGTTTACTATGTATTTTTAGAGTTCTAATCCGGATACATCCGTCATCCATTTATCCGTATCTGAATTATCAAATAATCCAGATCGGGATAAACAGATAATTATTCGGCAGCTAACTATGATAGTGCTTGCCAAATAACTATATATTATCCGGCAGCTTACTATGATAGTGCTTGCCAAATAACTCGAGTTATTTGGCAGTGATTACGTCATCTGCCA